TGGGTGTGCACTTGACTAAGTGGTATATTCATGTGTATGTGCAGGTGCCTGCATTTGCATTTATGTGGAGGTCAGAGATCAATAGTGTCTCATCTATTTTTTTATAGAGTGACTCTCTCACAGGACCTGGAGTTCACTGATTCAACCAGATTGGCTGCCCAGCAAGAACCGGGGACCCTAGCCGGGCAATGGTGGTGCACGCCATTAATCCCAGCACTCGGGAGGCAGAGGCAGGCGGATCTCTGTGAGTTCAAGGCCGAGCTGGACCAACAGCCTCCAAAACAATACAGAGAAACCCTGTCTCGTAAAACCAAAAAAAAAAAAAAAAAAAAAAAAAAAGAACCGGGGACCCTCTTGTCTCTATTTCCCCAGTGCTGAGATTACAAGCAAGACCCTTAATGTCTGGCGTTCTTATGTAGATTATGGAGGATCAAACTCAGGTCCCTGTGTTTATAAGTGTTTTACTGACCAAGCTATCTTCCCAGACCCTAAAAGAATGTTTCCTATATGCAGTTGGTTGAACCCACAATTCAGAACTCATGAATGTACTGGGACTCTCTTTTCAGACTTTCTTTGGACTGCCAGCCCCCAAATAATGGCACAGAGACTTCTTACTAATTATGGAAGCTTGACTTTAGCTTGGGCTTGTTTCCAACCAGCTCTTATAACTTAAATTAAGCCATTTCTATTACTATACATTTTGCCACGTGTCTCTTGACTGCTCCTCAGTACCATGCATCAGACTTGCTCCTGTGCACCTCAGATTTTTCCCGAGTTCCTCTTTCTCCCAGAAGTCCCGGATATTCTCTCCTGCTTGACTATTGGCCATTCAGTTCTTTATTAAACCAATCACAGTGACACATGCTCACATGTGGTGTACACAAAGATTATCCCACAACACGTGAATACAGAGGACTTGCTGTTTCTCTTTAATTGTGAAGATCAGAGAGAAAAAAAGTTCTGTATCAGGAGTAGGTTTATCTGGGTTTCCTAAGATAAAAGCAGTTTCCACACTACTGGTGCTTTCAACAACAAAACGTCTCTGCTAATGGTGTACCCTTTTCCACCTATTGCCCTGACTGCCTGTCCTTGCTTCTGCAGATGTTTCTCTCTGTTCACCATCTCTCCCCTAGGTGTACTAACCGGGGTGTGGAATCAGAGCAGACAACTGGGCTCTATGTTAGCCTTTTTTGGTAGTCTGCAAAACTCTGACAAGGGTCCTCAAAGGCTGTCTGAAAAGTGAGGGTTGGGAGTGAGTATGGCTCTACATTCTGCCCTCACCCCTTTACCTCACCCCCACAGCAAACCCTCTGCTTTTTTGTTATCCACATTATGTTCTGTATAAGACTGGAAAAATAATTTCTCAACTAAGCAGTTTGAAAGGCACGAAGTTAAACGATCGCCCATTTTTCAGGCTTGTAGTGGTAGGCAATCATGGTGGAATGATTTAGGCTTCCCTCTCACTGAATCTCTAACCATAGCAATTAGCACAGCACAAGCCCAAATTCACCTTATATTCTAGTACTAAGCCTTCCACCTATCAAAAGACAGTCAGGCAGACTCATCGTGGCCACTTAGAGATATGAGATCACATTGCTTGCCACTTTTGTCCTTGCTCTAAAAGCTGGTGGCCAGCTCTGTCCTGGACCCCCAGTGACGATAACTAGACCCCTGTCTTGACTTTTCAATGTCAGAGTTTTACCACATGAAGTCAATAACAGTCACTCTGAAAGCCACTTGTTCCCAGCCACCTGATCACAGCACGATCAAGTCTCCACAGGCTTGACTTCTGGAATCTGAGCCATCACTATCTTAATATGGCCACCATCTCCAACTTCCCAAGCCCTTTGTGTGTGTACAGGAGCCGAGTCTCTATCTCAAGGTCTCACGGTGTCTTTACTTCTAATTGATTTGCTTTTAACCTTGGATTCAGCTGAGCTCGTGGGTCCATAGTCTTTATGAAATCTCAAAGGGGCTAATGAGCCTAAGAGGTAAACTAAATCAATTAAAGTTAAATTAATGTAGTTAGTGACTGTTGCACTGGACAGGGCAGACAGGACATTTTCATTATCACAGAAAGTTCTATAGGACAGTACCACATATGCCTACTTTATCCAGAACAATTCCAACTGGTACTCCCTTAAAAGGTTTTAGCCAACAATTGTAGGTGCTCCCTCTTGAGATCCCATCTGTAACTCCTAAGTCATTGGTTAGGAATACCTTTCCAAAACAGGCAGGGAGCATGGAGCCATCCTGAACTCGGTAGAAGAAAGGAGGGATGGACAAACCTCGGTTCGGATATCAGTCACACTCTCCTGGACACAAAAACTTAAGTTCAGGAGAGGTCAAGAGGCTGCCCGTGAACTTAAGCAGCCAGGCTTTGTGGTATATTGTCCCACTCATCTTATTCTATTCGTTCAATTGCCTAATACTTATTGGATTCCAACTTTACACTCACACCTAGTCAAGATGACACAGAAGTTAACACAACGGCTAAGTTTACCAATGATGATCCGCAAAACTTTGCAACTCTCCAATGCTCATGCCACGATCTACCTTTTTCATGAGACAGTTGGATCTATATTTAGATAACTCAGATTATAATCCCCTTACTTTCATGATAAATTTGAGGGTATTTTGTACTCTAATCTCCAGATTTTTAAAAGTTATGTTTTAAATAACAAAATAGAAGACTTCGCCCATGGCAACATTTCCAAGGATTATTTAAAGTTACTTCCCTCATATGACTGTTGTCCTGGGCAATCCTAGATCTAGTTGGTGTGTGTGTGTGTGTGTGTGTGTGTGTGTGTGTGTGTGTGTGTTTAGGTGCTTGTAAGGTCAGAGGTGCTGGAGTTATGAACTCTCTAATGTGGGTGTTGGGATTTGAACTTGGTTGAACTTGGGTCCTCTGCAAAGGTAGTATGGACTCTTAAGGGCTGAACTACTTCTCTGGCCCAAAGCTTATTAATTTTAAAATCAAAACCCAAGTAAGTTCTATAGCTTGTGATTGGTTGATCTGTCTTCTGAGTATTTTTTAATGTGTAGGGCTTCTCTTCCTTCTCTTGATTTCCTTGCTATCCATTAAAGAAATTCAGTTACTAGTGTCGAATCCTTGTGGGGCAGTTTGACATCCATGAGACCCTGGATTTCACTCTAGGCATGTTTATCTCTTTTTCCTCCCCTTTGTTTTCCTACTCTGTAGCATAGGTGGGATTCAAACTCATGGAGGCCTTCCTGCCTCATTGCCCCAGTCCTAAGGTTACAGGCATGAACAACCACACCTATGTCCAGTTTGGTAATGCTTATCTTTACATTTAAGTTCTCTCGACCTATTTAAACACATTAATATAAACTCTCATGTTTTGTGTAAGAAACACTCCAAATCACCCTTTTAGTTAATGTACCTTTACAGTCAAGTAATTCCCTTTATGTTTTAAGAAAATGAACAAAGAAAAAAATTAAAATTTAATTTCTCTAGATATCCACTAGAGGGCGAAGTTTCCTTTATTATATTCTCTTAATGAGCATTAAATCCATCAAATGTTTTCGTATTTTCTGACAAGTTGAACCTCTTAATTTGACTTTCTGATCTCGCCTCTATAAAATGTGACTCTGTTAGCTTGATGGCTGCTTGTACTGGTACATCCATCCTTGACTCTGTTCCCAGTTCTAACCATTAGTAAGCGACGTCTCATATACCCCAGGAAAGGAAAAAAAAATTAAGTAAAACTGCCGAGTAAAAAGTCGTTTCACGAGGAAAGGGATCATTAATTTAAGGAAAGAGACATACCAGACTTTTCTAGTTCGTATCCAACTCACGGCCCAAGGTCAGCACTGTAAAGTACAGCACAAAGAAGCCATTCAGAAGGGGGCGAAGCGGACTTGGTACGAACGTGTGCACAATCGGTGCTTTGATTTTGCAGTTCTCCTGGAAGGGGCTGATGCGCGTTTGTGCACGTGCGTGTGAATAGTTATGGGGCAGCGGCCGGACGTGAGTGTGCTGGGCGTGGATCTGTGCAATCAGTAGCTCTCTAGCGAACCGCAAAATCAGACACACCGGATGCAACTCGGCGCTCTTGGAAGGTCAGCAATTCACTGAGGGGCAGAGTCCTGAGGGGCAGATGGCCCGCCTCCCTGCACATCAGTCCAGCAAGTCCTTAAAAGGGAACACCTGCATCAGCCAGCTGTTCAAGCTCCCATCCTCACTTCTCACCTGGCTCCTCCTCAAGCGCTCTCTCCCACCTCAGACAAAAAGGATCTGCCTGGCAATGCACAGGTACTAGGGAAGCCCTGAGTCCTTTAGATCAGGACTCCCCCCGCCAAGGTAATCCTAGGAAAACAGTGTGAACCTACACCGGGGTGTGACCACAGGCCTCCTGGTGCCGGGCCTTTTTCAGATCCCAGCTTTAGAAATTCTTTTCCCACTGGAGCCTACTATGCCAATATAAACAAAACCAGACAGATTTAGGAAGAGAGGCTGAGGCGTCCCCCTTCCCTCCCAGCATAAATAGCTTTTCATTCTGGAAAAGATGAGGAGCTTAGTAGAAAACGGACAAGAAAGGTGGATCGGGTCTCTTTCCTGTTTTCTTTCTTCCTGAGTGAGGCTCGGCTGTGTATGGCTTCACAAGGAGCTAGCCTTGTCCCAAGCCTAGAAAGCGGTTAAAGTACCGCGCACAGAGGCTTTTCCTTCTCGCTTTTCGTTTAGCTCTCAGCTCTGGGGCCTGCTTTCTGGGTTTCCCCCCTGCTTTCTGGGTCTCTGCGCCCCACCTCCTTGCCAGCTCGCTCGCTCGTTCCTCCCCCCTCCTGAGCCGCAACCCACCCGCTACACCCAGTCTTGGGTCTCCCAACCCAGGGGCTTCACCCGAAGCGGAGAGAAATTTGCATAGTCCCCGCCCCTCCCGGAAACCATTGGTGCAGCCTTTCTCCAGCGCGGCTGATGATTGGTGAGCCGTCCGGGTGTATTTGCATGCGGACCGCCCTTCAGAACCCATCTGTGTGGGTAGCCCGCGTCCGCGAAGAAGTTTGTGGGGCGCTTTCTCACCGGCTGGTCCGGGACGGACCTCGGGCGCCTCGCTCTTCGGTGACCGCCCAGTTCTCTCGGGATTCTTTCTCTGTACTTACGGACGCTCGGGACACTCGGTAAGGGAAGCTGAGGACTGGCAGGGCCAGTGCGGAGGAGAAGCGCGGGGGAGCCCGCTCGCTGACAGCGGCGCGGCTGGACGAGGACGGCGTTGGGCTCCGGCTCGCCCGGAGCTTCGCCTACCTTCCCGCGGCCCGTGCGCGGGCGATGCTGCGGCCCCGAGGCTCGGCGCGGCGAGTACGGAGGGCGCCTCCCAGAGCCTAGAGCTGGTTTCCGCCCCCCAAGCCAGGGCAAGTGGGCATGGAACAGTGAGAGCCCCTCGCTGGGCGAGGCCGCGCGCGGAGGCTCCCCATGGCCGGGACGTACAGCTCCACACTGAAGACACTGGAGGACTTGACCTTGGACTCCGGGTATGGGGCCGGCGACTCCTGCCGCTCGCTCAGCCTCTCGTCTTCCAAGTCCAACTCGCAGGCGCTCAACTCTTCGGCGCAGCAGCACCGCGGGGCAGCCTGGTGGTGCTACTCCGGCTCCATGAACAGCCGCCACAACAGCTGGGACACGGTGAACACGGTGCTGCCCGAGGATCCCGAAGTGGCCGACCTCTTCTCGCGCTGCCCGCGGCTCCCGGAGCTGGAGGAGTTCCCCTGGACCGAGGGAGACGTGGCCCGGGTGCTCCGTAAAAGCATCGGCGGCCGGAGGCTGCCCGCCTTCTCGGCCGAGGCGGTGAGGCGCTTGGCCGGGCTGCTCCGCCGGGCGCTCATCCGCGTGGCCCGAGAGGCGCAGCGCCTGAGCGTGCTGCACGCTAAGTGCACCCGCTTCGAGGTGCAGAGCGCTGTGCGCCTGGTGCACAGCTGGGCGCTGGCCGAGAGCTGTGCGCTGGCGGCCGTCAAGGCGTTGTCCCTCTACAGCATGAGCGCTGGCGATGGGTTGCGCCGTGGCAAGTCGGCGCGCTGCGGCCTCACTTTCTCCGTGGGCCGCTTCTTCCGTTGGATGGTGGACACTCGCATCTCCGTGCGCATCCATGAATACGCGGCCATCTCGCTCACGGCTTGCATGGAGAACCTGGTTGAGGAGATCCGGGCCAGGGTGCTGGCGAGCCAGAGCCCTGATGGAGGAGCAGCAGGAGGCGGAGAGGTGTCTGCAGAGGCCTTGGAGATGGTCATCAACAACGATGCCGAGCTCTGGGGAGTCCTGCAACCCTATGAGCATCTCATCTGTGGCAAAAACGCCAATGGTAAGTCCGGGGGGTGGGGATCTCGACGAACCGACCGGGTGTGCTACCCCAGGAGTGGATCTAGGACCAAGCCGTGAAGTGTACCAGGTTTCTAAGAGAAATGGAATTCTGGGAGATTCTTAAGTGGGCTCTTGCAAAAGGTCGTTTTAGGTGTCTAACTTTGGAGGATAAAGCCGTGATTAGTATTCTGTTGGCTGTTCATTGATTGTATGAGACTGGGTGTCAGGACAAAACTACTCATGAACCACCCTCCGAGTGAAGTTTGCTGCCATGCTACGGCTTGTTTAGTTGGATCTCTAGAAGTCTGTTTTTCACCCAACAGTAGGCCAGGTTTACTGTGGTTCTTGTCTGGTGTTTTCTTCAGCCCAATAGCAGCAGCCCAAGGGTCTGTATTCCCAACACCCGAGCCTTTGCTGAATGGAATGGTTTGAGAAGAGTGGGGAGCCTAGGATCTGGTGCTGCACTCTGGGCTTAATGATGCAGAGTCCGGCCTCTTGACAGGAGGTGGGGGGAGAGCTGCCAGTTCTTAATACTATGTGCCCAGGGAAACCAAGGACTCTTGAATCTCCTTTCCAGAAAGACAGCCACATGCTGGCTTCTGGGGCCAGATTTTCCAGCTGTCATTAACCAAGTAAGCATTTGATTAAAACCTCATGTTGAATTAAATGCACAACCTTTTAGGCTTTCCTGAAAGGAAAGATGACGGGCTCAGTAAACCACATTATGGAGTGTGGGGGATGGGCAGCATGGCGTGGAGTCTGGAAAATAAAGCAATGAGTGGCTGCCTCCCACTGAAGGCATGGCTTCGGTGCCAAAGATGACAGAAAAGCCCTGGCCCTTCTCTGTGGTAGTTTGGGCCATGAGATGCGTCCAACAGCCAACTACTTATCTAACTCCAGTTCCAGGAGTTGGCACCATGTATTATTTAAGATGGACCAACCTTATGGTCTAATTGGAAGGGTCACTTTGGGTGCAGCTTTTAGTGGCAAATAAGCAAGTAATGGAAGAGACCAGGTGGGTTCCAGAAAAAGATAAAAGTCAAATTTTAGATGTGGCTTAGCATACTCGTGATGGCTAAAATTTAAAATATCAAGGTTTCAGTCACTGTTCGTAGCACATTCTGTATGATGACCACTTTTACAAATTAGCCTGTGTGTATTTGGTACTGGGATGCGGTGAACTCTGTATTTGGTTTTTTGTTCCCATTTTCTGAACACAACTCCTAAAATTCCTGGAAATCTCCAAAATGAAAATGTATTATTGTGTGGTAATGACTAAGAGCTTGCCACCTGTAGGTAGTTTCAAAATGGGGATTAGTCACCAGAAAAACTGAAGCAGGCTTTAAAGGGTTAGTGCCTACAGACTCCTGCCCCAGCCAGCCTCCCAGGAGAGAGAGAGGTAAAAGGTTAAGTCCATCATCAATGGCCAAGATTTTAATCAATCATGCATGTATAAAAAAGTTTTCATTAAAAAAAAACTCATGAGGACAAGTTTCCTGGTGCTTCCAGATAGCTGAACACCAGAGCAGCAAGTGACTCACTTTCATCCATGCATGTTGCCCTATGGGTGTCTTCATCGATAACCTTGTAACCTCCTTTATAAATAAGCCAGGTACTCTAGTAAATTATATCAGAAGAGGGCATTGTGGGAACCCTGCTTTTTAGTCATTGGTCAGAAACTACCCAGGACTTGTGGCTGGATTGAACTCTCAGAGAATGAGATCTTGTGTTGTCTCCTGGTAGTGTCAGGGTTTAATTGAGTTGAATTAGAGGACACTCAGCTGTATGTGCTTTAGACTTGTTTGCTTGTCAGTGGAGGAGTCCCCACACTTTGGGGGATATAGAAAGAACACATGTTCTGTATTGATTGTGGTGTGAGAACAGGGAAAATGGTTTGTTTTTCCAAGAGATAAGTACCTTCAGTGTTATCCCATTATACAGAGGAGATAAAGGACCCAACATTTCAGTCCCTTGCTTAGATTACACAGATACTAAGTAACAAAAGTGGAATTTGAACCCTGGCATGCTACACCTTTCTGTTTCATCAGCCTAACTTCAAGGGGACCAATTGACCTGCTAGGCCGAATTTGGAAGACACTGTATTTACTCAGCATGCTTATTTTGATATTCCTTGCTTTGGGTTTCATTTCTGGCACTAACACAGGACATTCTTGGAATCAAGAATATTTGCCTTTTAATTTTCCTGCTCTTAGGTCAGAGTTGAGGTCAATCCAAGAACTGATGATGTCACTGCTGATAATCATGCTTCACACTTTTAAGTTTGTGGCTTCAGCACTGGGAACACCAGTTTCAAGAGAGGAAGTGGAGGGCAGGGGGATTTCCATCCAGTTGTCATAGCCCAGGGGAAGAGTTCTGTACTGAGGGAAACCCTCACAGTATAGTGCGGCCTGGACTGAACCTGGAGAGTAAAGTCCCTTCGGGTAAAGCACTTAAACCCTAACTCCATAAGCCAAATTGGACTAACAGTAAGTACAAAACAAAACCCATGCGTGTCTACATGCCCAGCCAGAGTCCAGCTGCCGAATGTCTTTCTGACTGCAAATCAAGACTTAGAAGAGCAGCTGCCTCTCGGAGTACCTGCAAGTGTGAAGTGGTCAGAAATCACTAGAAAACAAGTGTTTCATCTAAGGGCTCACAGCCAACGAGCATCGCTTGTGAAACCCTTGGGGTCTTCTCTACTGGACGGGTCTTTTGCCGTGATTTGCCCTTCACCTGCTACCTTCAGCATCCCTTCTCCTTGGTGAGGATGGCAGGATGCTCCTTTCCCTAGGATGCTCAGCACTTAGAGTCTGCCCCTCAGTTCTCTGGTCTTTCAGGCTCTCTTCCAGGAGAGGCAACTATTGTCTTCCCTTTGTAACATGGATAACCCCTTCTTGTTCTTAAAAACTAGGGGGTGGCCTCACTAAACAGCAACTCTGCTGATTTATTAAATCCCCTTAGACAGGGAAATGAATGTTTACTAGAGAAGCAATGAATTGCATATGTTGGAAAGCTGTCTTCAGAGGGAAGCCTAAACCACTTAGGAAAGAAATGAAGAGCTCCAAACCTTTTTTATATTAGAGTGGCCCCAAAGCCAGCAAGGTTACAGTTTATACAGCTGAAGACCAAGTGGGGGATGCCTGCATAAGGGAAGGGAGAGTGCTGGTTGGTATTCTTGCCCTGCTGGTCTTCCCTTTAAATTATATAAGTATCCTTGTTGTGCTTGCTAATTACACAGCATGGGCTCATGCATTTGACTCAGCTGTATAGAGCTCTTAAACTTTAACATCTTCCAACAAAGAGTTTAAGAGCCCCAATCCATCTATTCTTGTCCATTACTCAGAATGCCAGACAAATATGGTTTTGCTCAGCCTGAGATGGATGATAAAAGTTCTGTTGTGTTTATAAAACAGGATCCCAGCTCCGTAGAGCAGCAGGAGTTATACATTGTTGATCATTTGGTATTGATGTCTTGGGTCCCAGGGCGGAGTCATTAAACCCTGAGATCTTCATGACTTCCTTATGGGAAGCAGAGAAACCTCTTTAATAGAGTGGTACTTATAAACAGGGAGCTGGCAGAAAATAGAAGCATCTCTCATCCGCCCTTACCCTTGATCCTCTCCTCTTTTTCTCACAGAACTCTGGGCAGGCTTGATACAGTACATCCCTTCTAGGTTCCTTCCTGGCCATTTTTCTTACTAAGATCTCCTTCCAGGGCTGTATATGGAGTGTATACATGCTCTGTCACAGTGACAATGTAAGAGTTTGAAACATACCTCTATGATGGACCTGGGGCAAAGTTCTTAATAATTCTAGGCCTCTGTTTTGTCATCTGTGAAATTGAGGATAATAATACCTAGCTCATAAGGTTGGCATGAGGGTAGAAACCATAAAGATCTTAGCATGTAGTAAAGGCTCAATAAATAGTAGTAATGCAGTCAACAAGTACTTACTCACCACTGACTTGCCCCACTGTTAAAACTGCAGTGGAGTAAGTGGTGTTGTGGTGATTCTCTTCTCCAAGTCTGTACTCCAGTGGAGGGACAAGAAAATGTAAACAAAGGGTTACTCTTTCTTAATGGTGTTTGGGTTTAAATTTTTTATTTATTTTTATTCATTGTGTTGCATATGTAGACCTCTGAGGACAACTTGTGGGAGTGAGTTCTCTCTACTGTGTGGGTTCTGGGGTTGAACTCAGGTTGTTAGGCTTGGCAGCAGATGCCTTTACCTATTGAGCATTTTGTCTGCCCATTTTTTTCTGGTTCTGTGGGGGGGTCTCTTTTACACAGGATCTTATTATGGAGCCCAGGCTGGCTTCTAACTTACAGTTTTTCTGCTTCCACCTCCCAGGTGCCAGGATCACAGATATATGCCACCATTCCCAGTGGCATTGTTTTTTTTTTGTTTTTTGTTTTTTGTTTTTTTGTTTAGGACCCAATAATGGGATAGGTGGGGACAGTTTAAGTGATAGTCAAGGAAGACCTCACTGACATTTCATTAGTAGTAGTTAATAATATGGACACCACTGTCTTAGGAGCCTTGGGCTGCAAATAGTGACTAAGGAGTTTTCTGAATTATTCACTTATTTACCAGCTGAGGCAAGTGTCAACATCTCATTTGCAGCCAAGAAATAAAGAGGCTGTGTCTAAAGTGGGATGGAAATTCTGGCTGAAGCATTCATTTGTCAAAGAGATTGTAGGATGGATTTCCACTGAGATAATTAGCCAAAGGAGCAAGGGTTAATTGAGCCATGAGTTGCTGTTTAATCAGTTTTAACACCTGGGTAGACTGAGGGAGGAGGGCACCTCCCTTCTTCCTGACTGTTGTATTAAAGCCAAGGGAGCTTGCAGAACTGAAACAAAGCAAGTTTGGGGGATGAAAACTAGTTTCCTTCCCCTTCCCCTTGTGTGCCTGAGAAATGCAGCCCCTGCCATAGGTACTATGAGAAACAAGCTAGAACTAACTGGTAGACCTCCTCTAGAAAACTACCTGACCTCCCCA